AAACCTTACATGCAAATGTAATAGGGAAAAATTTTAAATTTATCAAGGTTGCCAAGTTGTCAGTAATAAAGAATCAAAGAATCAGGGCCCTTGTTGCCCAACTTCTCATCTAACTAAAGTTCTTCATTAAAAACATTTGCAGTTATCATAATAGTCATGCACTACATAAATAAAGTTCTTCACTAAAACCATGTGCAACTATCATAATAGTCATACTCAGCATAATGGCAAGCACTTCGCTGTCATTGGATTATTGTGCACTAAACAGGCATCACAGCTTCTAGCGAGGAGAAGTTACAAAGAATTCTATCTTAAGAGCTTTAAAATGGTAAAAATACCTAATACACATTCATATTAGCATTTTTCAAGTATTATATAGTAAGTATTCTGCTTTGACGAAAATATAATTATAACAGTCTTGTCACATGTTTCACTCAAAAACAATTCAACAATTTCACCTTCAGTCACATGACTTAATTCAAGTTCATTACGACAGGAAAAAGGTTACACTATAATTCATGAACCAATAGAAAAAGTATGAATTTATTGAATACCATGCTAAGTGTTATCCAGTACCATATATATCAAAAAGAAATAATCATTATCCAATTTCATATCTAATAATTGTTACCCAATTTTATATCAGTTCTATGCATAATTCCAAAAGAAGTTACACAGTAACTATTAGATAAGAAATAATAAATGACAAATGATAATATTTAGATTTTTGAATGGATCATGTCATGCGGATAACTGCACAAAACCTCTAACGTGAAAAACAATACTCAACTTTTAGGCTTCAAATTGCTCATAGGATTTGCATATAAATTATGGGACATGCTAATTATAGTTTTAGTATCGAAGAAAATTTATAGTTTACGTGATTTTAGGGTTTCTACCTTTAATATCTTTCAGATTTTATTATTTTCATTTAGCGGTCATCTAAGATCTCTAAAGAAGAGGTCAAAGCTGTCTAGGGAGGATAAAATCCCTCCAGAGTTTTTCCCAAAAAATTGCCCATCAAAAGTGGGCTTTCATCCACCCATAGGTATGAAATACCAAAGCAGGAGACTGGACACTCGCACCACAGCAAGCCCTTAGAAGATTGCCTGGAATTTCCAATCTAAGGATGCTCGATTGCCCTTGTACATTGTTTTAAAAAACGGACCGCCCAGCGCCTAGGCGGTCCAGAAGGCCTGGGCACATCGTCCAGGACTAGGCAGCCTAATTAGGCAGGTTGTCCCTAGGCGCCCGCCTAGGCGCCAAGGTACCCGCCTAGGTGGCACTCAATGGCTGCCTAGGGCCTGCACCCCGCCCAGGGTCGGAAATGCCCCTACTTGAGGGAATGCTTTGGTTTTTTTTAATAGAAAAAGGGCATAAACGTAGGTTTTAGCTTCATATGAAATCTAAACCCCATTAGAGCCTATTTTTTAGAGAGAAACACCCAAAAAAACTAGTTTTTAGTGATTTCCATAAGATCAAAGGGCTTCTCAAAGTTACCAGAAATTGATTTAAGCATCACCCATTGATATTAGATTTAGTTTTGAATGTTTTATAAGTCTATTAGAGGGTCTTTTAGAAGATTTTGAATCCTTAGAAACATCTTAGAGGTGGAAGCTTGGAGATTGAGCAATCAAAGTTAGTGAATTTTTTTTTTTGATGGCTTGTATTTTTTTGTCTTCTTCGAGATCTAATCGAAGTGGTGATCTAGGTTTGTAATATGGCTACAACCCGAATCATTTGGATAAAAATTACATGAGATGCAAGTTTTGTGAAAATGATACAAAAGGGGGCATAAACTGGTGCAATAAACATCTTGTCGGCATCAGGGGGGATGTTACCCCATTTAAAAAAGTTCTTGATGTTGTTAATGAGGAGATGAAAAATTTTCTTTGTCTTATAAAAATGAAAAAAGATGAGAAACAGGCATCCATAGCAAAGATGAGGTCTAGGGTTCAGGTCAGTTATGATAATGATGATAGTGATGAGGACAGGGAAGGATGTCGAGGTAAAACAACAACAATCCATGATTAGGGGGAAGGGAAAGGGAGTTGTAATTGCTTCTGAGGGTGGCGGGCCTTAGAGGCCTCAGGTTAGAGGGCCTATATATTGTTTTTTGCCTTAGCCTTACCCTGAGGCTGCAAGAAAGAAAACAAAGAAGCAAACCACCATTGAAAATAGAATCAAGAAGGAAGAGAGAGATAAAGCTGCACAATATATTGCTAGATGGTTTTATGAGGGAAGCATTCCTTTCAATACCGTAAGCCTAAGCAGCTTCTACGCCTTAGTAGAGGCAATTGGCCAATTTCGACTTGGGATAAAACCCCCAACCCCATATGAACTTTCAAATTATCTTTTGAAAATAGAAGTGAGTATCACGAGGGATATTGTTGATATTCAAAAGGGTGCATGGGCTCAATATGGAGTTTCTATTATGATTAATACTTGGAATGATGAGAAGAGAAGCAACTAGATGAATTTACTGCTGTATTGTCCTTTAGGTACTGTTTTTTTTATCTCTATTGATGCCTCTTATTATGGCCATGATGCCCATTACATATTCCAAATTATGAAGAAGGGAACCATGGAGGTTGGGGAGCAGCATGTTATACAGGTTGTCACAGATAATGATGCTCCTAATGTTGTTGTTGCTAATTTGTTGCACATAGCTTACCCTAAAATCTTTTGGACACCATGTGCAACACTTGTATAGACCTCATGCTTGAGGCACTAGGCGGTTAGAGCGAAATTTCAATTACAAATTTTATTTATAGCCACACTGTCACCCTCAGCATGATGCGTAGATTTATAAAGAAGAAAGAGATTGTGAGGCCTAGGGTCACGAGATTTCCGACCTGGTACTTATCTCTAGATCGCACACATTCGAGGAGAGTCCAATTGAGGCAAATGTTTACCTCGGATGAGTGGAAAGCATGCAAGTGGTCCAAGGATCACATTGGGAAGAAGGTGAGAGATATTATCCTTTCTAAGGCCCTTTATCAAAGGGTGAAGGGCACTCTTAAGGTAATTTTTCTCTTGTCAAAGTCCTTCACATGGTTGATAGTGACAAGGCTTCTATGGATTACATATATGAGGCTATGGAGAGATGCAAGAGAGAATAGCCCAAAATTTAGATGGTGATATGAGCTGTTATAAGCCTATTTAGGAGATTATTGATGAGAAGTGGGAGGCAGCTACATCGGCCATTGCATGCAGCTGATTATTATTTGAACCCAGTTTTTATTATGCTGATAGGGACATACGCACAAATGACACAATTATGAATGGATTTAATAAGTGTGTAGATGTGCTAGTCCCTAATTCTGATATCCAAGATATTATATGCCTTAATGAGCTGATAAGTTACAAGTGTGCATTAAAGTCGTTTGGGAGTCCAATGGCGATGTGGCAAAGGACTAAAATTGATCTAGGTAATAATATTTGTAAGTTCATTAAGTTCAAGTTTCATTTCTTGTTTCTAGTTTGTTTTCCTTTTCATAATCTATAATTCTATCATTCTATATCTTAATAGTTCATATATAATTAACAATTGTAAATTTGTAACTCAAAATCAATTTGCAGCCATTTTGTGGAGCCAACATGGGTGTAGTGCTCCAAATTTTCAAAAATTGGCCATTCAGATCTTGAGCCTAACCACTACCTCATCCGACTGTGAGCGAAATTGGAGTACTTTTGAGATGGTAATTTGTATTAGTAATTTAGTACTTTAGTAGTTAATATCAAAAAAAAAATTAGTACTTTAGTAGTTATTAGTTTTGTAGTATTACTATTCTATATTTAATTATTTATATTAATTAGTTTCAATTGATTTTATTAGATTCATACAAAGAAAAGGAACAGGCTTGAATAAAAAAGGCTCGATGACCTAGTCTATGTCAAGTACAATCGATACTTGAAGGACATGTTTGTTAAGAGAGATAAGAGAGACACCTCAAATCAAAAAATATGGACAGTGCTATGGATTGATTGGTTGATGAGGATCAACTCGAGGGGCATGAAGGATTGACATGGGACATGGTCATGGAGCCCTCTGGGACATCAGCCGACCCTCCAAGGGCTACTAGATCTTCTTCATAGAGGACGAGGGTGGAGGAAGAGGAGGAAGTAGAGGCAGATTCAGGAGAGATCGAAGAGGACGACCATTATGTGGAGGAGGGAAATAATTACGATGATGATGGCATTGACTCCTTTTCTGATGATGACTAGTGAATGATGAATGAAGATTCTTTTGAGTCTTCAAGTAGTCAAGTCTATAATTTATATACTATATATCTTTTATTTTTGTTTTCCTCCTCTTGGTTCTGTATCATGGATTTATGGTTCATTGGTTTGGTAACTTTGGCTGGTAAATTTTAAGGTTTAACTATGTGTGGAGAGTGGATTATCAGACTATGGATAACTGGATATGGATTTATGGAGTATGGAGGAGTGTGTGCTATGTTGACTTGTGTACTATACGTTTGATGTGTCCTGAGTCCCTAACTTTTATGTTTAATACAGTTATATTGCTAGCCTAGACCATTTTCTTTCTACTGGTCGGCCTAGACACCCCCGGCCGCTTAGGTGTTGCCTAGCATTTTCTGAAGCATTAGCTTTGTATTCAACGAATATAGTTGTTCATTTTGACTACAAAGACAATTATATTTGAAGTGAAAGATACGTGAGAGTAAGCTACTACAAAGAAAATTATATTTGAAGTGAAAGATACGTGAGAGTAAGATACTCCACTCTCATGGATAAGGATGACATTGTTCCCTTTCTTTTCTTTTCTTTTTTTGCCAGTAATAGGACATTGTATATTTCATATTTCCATAATCAGAACTTTGAGAACTTCATATGGCTTACGTATAAACAGTTATTAGTCATGCATGAGAATCCCAACAAATTATAGTAACTAGGTATAGTTCATCCATAGATCCTGACTTAGAGAAAATAAGGCATATATATTTCAAAGCACAAATAGGTCATTGAATACATACTCAATTAAGCCAGAGGATTTGTTTGCATATACATTAAACAACTGATCAATCCGCTCTAGCTCCTTTGCTGCAGATTTACTTGAGGCTAGCCAACATTACATGAAATGACATAAGAATAGTTAACTGATTCTTTTTTTAAAAGCTATCCAAATGATAGTAAAAATAAAAGTCTTACTTGATGCCATCAGTGGGATAGAAATGAACAACCATTATAGAAATTAATGCACATGTTCCAAACTAATAAATAAGTGACAAGTCTAGAAATACTTTCAATCAAATACAAATATTTGCAAACCATTACACAATATATACAATCGTGATACTTTTTATAGAAAAAAAACAATGCCTAGAAAAGACCATGCCACTAAATGGAAGAGAAAAAAATTGTTAATAAATCTCAAAATCTTTGCAAACCATCAAGCTCAACCATGTTTTTCCTAGTACTTTTACCAGGAATATGAACATAGAAATCAATTATTTAACAAACTCCAATTTCTCAAAATTCAAAAACAAGTTCTCGATGGAAAACACCAAAACCCCAAATTAGCAATCGAGGAAGTCCATATGCTCATATGATATACAACAAAATTGACATGCAGATTCAATTGACAATATTGACCAAATGTGACACATATACACCATGCAGACCATAAGGAACCTAGATTTAAAACCTGAAAAATATGGAACAATCATAGATTACATAAAATTATTAACATATGGAAGTTCAGAAAGAAAAGAATAATAAGAACAAGAACAAGACATCAGGCTTCATAATCAACGCTATCAATTTAGGTATAAAGAAGTCAATTGTCATACCGCATAAACTCAATTTAATTTCTTTCTTACAAACAAGAAATACATGGTCCAGAGAATATAATAGCCATAAAATCACACACAATCATCAAGACATAGAATTTCAAAAGAAAACAATTGAACCAATTCTCAAATACAGCGATCAATCACAAGACCAAAAGATAATCAAAACAACAAAAACTACCAAACAAAATCACAATCAATAGTACTCAAGACATCAAAACTTGCTTAAACCTAGGCCCAAAAAAAACACAAAACACAATAAACCAAATATATATAGAGAAACAAGATGGGTTAGAGAGAGATACAGCATGAACTAGAGCGTGAAAGCAAGATAGAGAGAGAGAGAGTACCAGAACGATAGGGATCAATGGCGGAGGGATTAATGGAAGAAGCAGGGTTGGCGGCCCCCGTCTTCCTTGAAGAGGAGCGACGCATCTTCGAAGAAATGGAGGAAACACAGCAAAGAAAATCTAAAAATCTCGTTGTCTTTATATATATAGATATATAGATGTGTTTCTGTAATATTTTGATTGTTTAAATCGAAGGAAAATCAGTAGATTTCCCACCCTTTCAAAGAGAATAGTAAAAAGTACTCACTTTATTATCTCTATATTTTTGCCTTTTCTCCTTTCTCAACCCGATAAAGAGAAAGCAAGGAATACCTTTCAGAAAAGAACCACCAAGTGGGGTTGGTCTTTCAAGTATTTCACAGCATGGTCAAAACAAAGACCCCACGATTTTAACGAACTGCTTAAAGAATTAAAAACCATAGAGGGGGATAGAGGTTATAGAAACGTTTATTAGAAAGAAAAAGAGAGAGGAGAGATTATAGGAAACTTTTACGAGGGAGATAGAGATATAGAAAGCATATAGAGAGCATGTTTGCCAAAAATATATTCCTCTCCACTTTAAAAACATTTCGGTATTCATAGGGGTGGCAACGGGGTCGGGTATGGGTCAGGTCTGGCTGGATCAGGATCCAAACTCGAATAAATTTGGGTCCAGATTTTGGACTCGGACCTGATTCATTGGGTCCAAAAATTGGACCCATACCCGTCGGGTCTCGGGTCTACCCCCATTGGGTCTTGGGTCTACCCATCGGGTCTCGAGTCCATTCTCACCCACACTATGAGCTTCTTTTTTTATTTTTTTCTTGCCCCTTTTTCTACCATCATATACACCTATTATTGGCGACAATGTCACAATTACCTGCTATTAGCTTTCAAGCCGTGTGATTTATCATTTAATAGCTAAAGATGACAACTAGTTCTAATTATATACAATCTTTAATACACCCAATTGAATAGGACTTAAAAGTAAAGTATTTTATCTCTAATAGGTTACATGTACGAGTTGGGTCTAGCTGGACCCGTAAGTGTGGGTCCAAATGCTTGACCCATACCTGACCTAGGTCGGGTTCAGGTCCATTGCCACCCCTAGGTATTCACTACCGAAAACGGTATACTGACTATGGTGGAACAACGAGGGCAGTTTTTGGAAATGTTGAAATGTATTTGTGGGTAATGCATGTATGTTTGGATCATAGTCCGTAAGTCTCCATTTAAAACATGATGTTGTCAAAAAATCTCTAAGTTTTTGATATCCAATAAAAGCTTCGATATTTTCAAAACATCTTCTAAAAATCGCGTTTTTTTTATGGAACCGATATAATTCCGTGTTTTATCGTTATCTCAAAAAACCTTCTCCCCTGTAATTTTATTTCTTCATTAACTTAATATGATTTAATATTGGTTCAAAGATAGGCACACTAACCGTGGGAGTAAATAAAATATCTTAATTTAACAAAAAAATTCATAAAAAATTTCACCGATAAGTTCCCTTTGAAAAAGAGTACGAATAAATACAAGCAATATATTCTCCAAGAAATAAGATATCAAAACAATCATATGTACCAAAATAATAGGTAGAATTAGAAGAAGAGTAACCTAATGAAAAATCTTTTTTTTCTTTAAACCTAGAGCATCCTTATAAGGAGCAAGAGAGATATTCAATGAAACTAAATATTAGGTGGATAGGAATTCTATGTGAGATTTGAATTAGCATTGTTGCTTTCTTTATGCATAGAGAAGTTTTACTGTATTTTTTTTTTTTTATTTCATTGGTGTATACAATATGGATAGACCACTATTTCTACATATTTGAGTCTTTGTTTTCAGTTTTAGTTAACTGCAATCCTATATTGAGGGTCTTTTTTGTTTTTTTCTTTGAACAATAATCCATACCTTGGTCTACAATTATTGTTATTTACCAATGTAGTTCTTGTATTTAATATTGTTGTTGTTATTTCATTTTTTGCTACCAATAAATATATGATATGGTTTGTGTTACGATAATATAATAAGTATTATTGTTGGATTTTGCGAAAGTTTAGACAATAAATTATCAATTATTACTCTAGTGACACTAGCTAATGCCATAAAATTATTGTTCAATGGCTTTAATGTATCTATAAAACAATTGCAAATTATTACTCTATATAATGTCATTTTTACATATCCAATTTTTTCACTCTTTTTTTTTGAGCCAAATCTAAAATATTCATATTTCTATAACTCTACCCAATTTTTCTTTCATCTTTTTGAAATAAAACCGATTTATTATTGATGTTTTAGTTTACCGATATATTATTATTCCCCGACTTGCTGGTTTGGATGCCCAGAGCGTGGGTGATGGACGAAATGAAACTTTCAATTTTGGAGATCCAACTTCTACCAAAATAGTTGGAATTTGAATCTATCACAGTTTTGGGAGATGCATCATTTGCAACAGGTAAAAACCCAACTTCGGTCTGAAAACCCTTTCCGCCCCCCTTCCAAGCATAGTGTTGCCATCTGCAGCCGAGATTATGCCTTACATCTCTAGTCCCCATCTCATCACAGCACTCTCTCCCTCCCACTTCGCCTTCTCTAGCAAGGCATCGACACCGAACCCAAGAATATTAATCTCTCATCACAAAAAACGCACAAGAGCTCTCTCTCTCTCAAAAGCCAATCCCAGAATCCATGGGCCTCCGTCTCCACATATACACATAAATCTAAAGATCTCCCTCTGAGCCAAAACCAAAACGTAGTAGAACTAGATCTAAAGGAGTTTCAATGTCAATTTCTTTGCTATGTATCTCCTCTTTTGTTTTTTCAAAAACCATAAACTTTGCCACACTCTAGCTCTAAACCATGAACTTTTACACACTCTAGTTCTTTGGTACAATATTTTGTGTCCATGTAAAGAGGGCCTCATGAAAGCATGTAAAACTAGTGCTATAGTGATATTGTCTTCTAGTGGGAGGATAGTTCGTGGGGAATAAAGAAACATACTTCATGACTGCTATGACACACTTGGGTTTGATGGTCTAGGCCCAAGATAAAGTCTGAAAACCCTTTGGCCTTAGGCAAAAGGCACAATTGTGGAGGATTTACAGAGTTATCCCTTGATAAGGTCAGAGAGATACCCGGGGTGGTTGGTTGGCCAAGGGAATATGGGTCTCCTATTTGCGGTTGGCGAGCTTGTGTGGGCAAGTACCAAATCATCATCATTGCTATTGCACAATATATACATTTGATAGTTGTGATTGGGAAGTGACTATAAGGGGGTGACGTGTACATTGTGATGAAGAGAGGATCTTTTGTGCCATTGCGATAGTGTGTATGACTTGTTCTAAAAGGAACTTGAAATCCACACACTAAAACATCGTTGTGTGGAGTGTATGAAATCCTCGCCCAAGATGACAAAAAAAAAAAATTGCAGGCCAAAACTACAACATTTGTATTCAATTTACAACCACATATCTTTAGGCAAAAAGCCTCACAATAACATCACATAGACTCCAAAATATAAAAGGATGACTTGAATCAGCCCCTAGACTTTTACCACTCAACTAACCACGGATTGACCTCAAACTAACACAAACATGACTTATAATACAGTACACTTCTCAATTCCTCTCAAATTTCAACTCACTTTAATTACATGAACATTAATTAAATAACTCTCTAGCTTAATCTCATTAATACAAGATTACATAACAAACATGTGCACAAGAACTAAGGCATGGGAAGCCAAAATGAATGGCTCAAGGTACTCAGATTACCTCCAACAGATTTATTTATACTTTTTATTACAATGAATCTCGATAGTGCCAGAGTTTTGGATAAAATTTCACTGGGAAGGTAAGAATGCACCATAACAATTTCAACCACACAAAGGGTACTCAAGAACTCAATTAAAACTCAGTAAAAGAGGGCCTTCGCAACCACGTATGGGAGTGAGAAACTTCACATGGGCGTCTTCGAGAATAGCATGGAATGGAAAGATCAATACTAGGTTGAAGCATAGGAAAGTGCACGGGACAACTCTAGTATAATGAAGGCATATGGAAATGGGATTTTGAGATGATAAAATATGAGAAAAATTCAGCAAAAGAACAAGGAAGGTCACTCCAAACTATGCTGAAACATTTAGGTATACCCTAGGCACAAAGGCAAATGAATCTAATACGGAGTAAAAAAGAAAGAACATAGATAGAGAAATGAACTTTTGAAAATATCATTGGGCCCACTAAATTTGTGGTGGTTCTTTCATTGTATATATAATAGTGATACGATGGTATAATGGATACTTTTCTATCTTGTTGCATGCAATATATGCTTTATTATCATGTTACATTTTCTCAAAAAGAAAGAGCAATTTCTATTGTTGCCTTTCCAAAACTAAGATTCTCGAATTTGGTTTTTATTAAGCCCCCCTCAAACTCGGGTGGGGACGCATACGAAGTCCGTGTTTAAAGCAAAGATCTTGAAAAACATTTCAGGGTAATAGCTTGGTACAAATATCAGCTACTTGAGTGCGCGAGGATACAAATTGAGTGACAAGTAATCCAAGAGCAACCTTTCCACACATAAAATGACATTCTAACACAATGTATTCTGTTCTAATATGAAAAATAGGATCAACCATCACGTAGAGAGCATAAATATTGTCACAAAAAAGTGTTGGTGCACCCTAATGTCCCAAATAATAAAAGAAAGTTATGTAAATTCCGCAGTAGTAGATGTCATAGATCGCTATTCAGCTTCAAAACTTGAACGACCCACAGTCGATTGTTTCTTAGTATTCTAAGATAAGCAGTTGGAACCAAGATAAGCACAAAAACTAGTGGTTGAACGGCAAGTGTTTGGACACCCACTCCAGTCAGCATCGAAGAAGGCGTATAACTCAAAGGAAGTAGCATATAAGATTTTTACACTATAAGACTATGTACCATCGAGATACCGAAGAATCTGCTTAACTGCCTGAAAATGTGCAATTGTAGGGGCATGCATAAATTGACACATTGTATTAGCACTATAGGAAAGGTTAGGTTGTGTTATGGTTGGAGTGCAACGACAATGCTCCAATAAAGAGATGTATTAAGAAATAGATCAAAATTCCCATGAACATTATTCTTTACTACCATTAGTGTTGAAATAGGTTTGGCACCAAGAATCTGGGTATGATCAAGAATATCATGAGCATATTTTCTTTATGACAGAAACATTCCACCAAAAAAAAAAGATTCGTCTATGCCAAGAAAATAGTGAAGAGGTCCAAGATTTTCATTGTAAATTCTCCTCCAAGTTGGGAAATAAACCATTCCAGAAGATCTGAATTATTGCCTGTAACAATAATAT